TGACCCGAGGAATCGATTGCGACCATTATTTTGGCGATCAGACGAAGCCTTGGGGCACTTTTGACGCGCCCCGTCCTTTAAGGGACGATTAAGGGATGAGGGATAGGAGCCACAGATCTGGAACCTTCGACTGAGGTTAGATATTGATCCGAGGAATCGATTGCAACCATTATTTTGGCGATCAGACGAAGCCTTGGGGCACTTTTGACGCGCCCCGTCCTTTAAGGGACGATTAACGGATGAGGGATAGGAGCCACAGGTCTGGAACCTTCGACTGAGGTTAGATATTGACCCGAGGAATCGATTGCGACCATTATTTTGGCGATCAGACGAAGCCTTGGGGCACTTTTGACGCGCCCCGTCCTTTAACCCGCGCCCCGTAGGGCTACCGGCGGACCCTACCACCCGTAGGGGGGGCCGTTTCGGCCCCCCCCTAAGATCTCGGAAAGTTACCGGCCGATTTTCAAAATTCAAACGGCGTTCGATAGCTCCACCTGGAAACTACCTTGTGACCGAATTTCATTGACCTAGGTCAAACCGATGACGTCACAGGTCAGGTCAAAGGTCAGATTTTCACCGTTCACAGGCAATTCAAGAAATGTGCTGTGAAAGCGAGTAAATTGGTAATTTATTGAAAACCATCGATGGTACATTGTTCGTCAAACACATACTTTGCTATCTGAGGTCACTGATACCAGGTCAGGTCACAGCGAGGTCAGGTCACCGGGGGTCACAATATGAATGTGTCGTGTGATACATGTTTTATGGTCCATTTTACATGACAAATGCGATTATGTGGGTAAGGCAGCCTTTGGGGCCAGCCTAGGTCACGTTTTGGTGAAGGTCAGGTCAAGGTCAGGTCAAATTAGGTCAAATTTCAAAGTTGATATTTTTGCATAAAATGGGTATCGATTCGATGCAGCTCGTCACGGGGAGTCTAATGGTGGTCTTCGTTTTACTCTACGAGTTCTAGAATTGCCAAAAATTGAGTTTGAAAATTTGACGTCATCATTTTTGAACAGTTTTGTTGCTATAACTTGGCCAAAAAACGAGGTATCGATCTGAAATTTGGTATGTAGATAGAAGACGGTAGGCACTATCACATATATTCCGGTTTTTTCGAAACTCAAAAAACTTTTTGGATTGTTTGGCGAATATATCCAAAAAAATGCTTTTTTGATTTTTGGGGGTCAAAACTCAAAAATTTCAAAAATTCGAGATAGCAGTTTTGTAGCCCTGTCAATTCTACACCTTTTATGTCTTGATCATTTTTCTGTATCTTCAAAGCTGTAGTCCTGACAGGTCTACTCGCGAAGGTCTTTTTTTCGGTCGAAAATGACAGAACATGACGTCACTCTGACGTCATTTGTGGCCAACCTATCATAGCCTCTGGAAAAATTTTGGTCACAATGTGTAAAATTGATGCCCGGAGGGGTCCTGAAAGGTTGGTGGCGATATCTCCAGCCGTTTAGGAGATATCGACCGAAAAGGACAGGGGGGGGGGCCGTTTCGGCCCCCCCCTACGGGTTGCGGGTTAAGGGACGATTAAGGGGTGAGGGATAGGAGCCACAGGTCTGGAACCTTCGACTGAGGTTAGATATTGACCCGAGGAATCGATTGCGACCATTATTTTGACGATCAGACGAAGCCTTGGGGCACTTTTGACGCGCCCCGTCCTTTAAGGGACGATTAAGGGATGAGGGATAGGAGGCACAGGTCTGGACCCTTCGACTGAGGTTAGATATTGACCCGAGGAATCGATTGCGACCATTATTTTGGCGATCAGACGAAGCCTTGGGGCACTTTTGACGCGCCCCGTCCTTTAAGGGACGATTAAGGGATGAGGGATAGGAGCCACAGATCTGGAACCTTCGACTGAGGTTAGATATTGATCCGAGGAATCGATTGCAACCATTATTTTGGCGATCAGACGAAGCCTTGGGGCACTTTTGACGCGCCCCGTCCTTTAAGGGACGATTAAGGGATGAGGGATAGGAGCCACAGGTCTGGAACCTTCGACTGAGGTTAGATATTGACCCGAGGAATCGATTGCGACCATTATTTTGGCGATCAGACGAAGCCTGGGGGCACTTTTGACGCGCCCCGTCCTTTAAGGGACGATTAGGGGATGAGGGATAGGAGCCACAGGTCTGGAACCTTCGACTGAGGTTAGATATTGACCCGAGGAATCGATTGCGACCCTTATTTTGGCGATCAGACGAAGCCTTGGGGCACTTTTGACGCGCCCCGTCCTTTAAGGGACGATTAAGGGATGAGGGATAGGAGCTACAGGTCTGGAACCTTCGACTGAGGTTAGATATTGACCCGAGGAATCGATTGCGACCATTATTTTGACGATCAGACGAAGCCTTGGGGCACTTTTGACGCGCCCCGTCCTTTAAGGGACGATTAAGGGATGAGGGATAGGAGGCACAGGTCTGGACCCTTCGACTGAGGTTAGATATTGACCCGAGGAATCGATTGCGACCATTATTTTGGCGATCAGACGAAGCCTTGGGGCACTTTTGACGCGCCCCGTCCTTTAAGGGACGATTAAGGGATGAGGGATAGGAGCCACAGATCTGGAACCTTCGACTGAGGTTAGATATTGATCCGAGGAATCGATTGCAACCATTATTTTGGCGATCAGACGAAGCCTTGGGGCACTTTTGACGCGCCCCGTCCTTTAAGGGACGATTAAGGGATGAGGGATAGGAGCCACAGGTCTGGAACCTTCGACTGAGGTTAGATATTGACCCGAGGAATCGATTGCGACCATTATTTTGGCGATCAGACGAAGCCTTGGGGCACTTTTGACGCGCCCCGTCCTTTAAGGGACGATTAAGGGATGAAGGAAGGGAGCTAGGGCAAAATAAATGTCATATTCGTGTTCCCCGTCCCCCAATTGACCTGATGGCAGTTTTTGAAGCGATTCTGAATCGTATTCGTTGCTGTTGCTGACGCTAACTTCACGGACATGGTTTACTGGCGCATATCTCGAAAAGTAGCAGGGAAAAGCAGCAAAGCACCTATATGGAACGAAAGATGAGTAATCAGAGGCTAGTATAAAACGTCCATTTTTAGCCGCTCGAAATCACATTTTTATAAAAGTCTAATTAAAGAATTAGATATGATTTTTATTTACGTCTTGCAGCTGCTTGCAAAAAATTAGCTTATCTTGCAGAAAAGCGATGCAATGTGTAAGAATGATGTTGGCACAGTGAATGACAGTGCCCTGAACTAGTCTGACAGGAAATTTCGTTCAAAACGACGATTGGTCTGCTAAGAAATTAGGGGAGAGCGGGGAGAGTTGTATCATGTCCAAGTTGTATCAGGGCGAATTGTGCCAAACTTATCCAATGGATAGCGCTCGCGACACGACCAGCCGACGAGGTTTTCCGGGCGCCATCTTTCCCTGTTCTGTCTTGTGGCTGAGTGGAAGCGTCTCGAGGTGAGAGCCGATTTTATGTTTTTTTAATGTCATTCTAAAAAAATAAGTTGCAAGAAAATGTGTGTTTTGGGCATTTAGATGTGCACGAATTTGAAAGATCTCCGTAGCGGTGGTGAGGGTAGGTTCTAAGGCTGCGCGAGTGAAAACGGATTTCTCCAGCTGTCCGTTGTTTTTTTAGCACGAGGATGTTTTTTCCAAGATGGCGGCTAGGTACATGTTGTATCAGAGCCGGGTGGGGTATGTTGTAACATGTATGTGTGTATGTATGTATGGGTATGTTGCTTTTGATCGCGAAAGCTAAGCCCTGGCTCGCGTTTGTAGGTAGCTAGTCAATGCTCGTTCCATTTCGGCACAATGTGTTGGCTTCTTTGCTCTTAACGGGCCACTTTTGCGTCTAGTCTGTTGATGTTTCGTTCGGATTGCATTGACCTAAGTTTGGTCTAATAAAGTGAAGCCTTTGAGCATACCTATACATTGTATTAACCCCATTTAATGTTGTTGTTATGTTCAAAACCAGAAGCAAGCACACTCCCTGAAACGTGAAATAGTGATACAAATTACCCCACCATGTGATACAACTCACCCAAGCCATGGGGCAAGTTGTATCAAAAACATTGTTCTATTCGGCAGACCGTAGAAGAAAAACTGGTAGAGGTAGCGGAAAAGTTACTTTGCACAAAAAAGCAGAAGAATCAAGGAAGGGGATAGTATGGAAATATTGAGTTTATCACGGATACTTACGAGGTTATGGGTCTCGGAGTAAAAACTGATACAACCCACCCCACTCTCCCCTACCACTAAAGATCATCATGAAAATCGGTAAATGTGGTGGCCACTAGAGAGTCTAAATTGTCTTGTGTTTGGTGACAACTGACGGCCTCAATTTTGACCTTAGGGAAAACTGGCATCGGAATAACTAGTATTCTTCGATCAATTTGGGATAAAATGATACATATTTTGTTCATATTGCGGACAGTCAGTTTGGGGGAATTTCTAGCGCTTTTTCGGGCTGCCGGCCTACAGTGCGGTCGGGGCGGACGGCGCGAGGGATTTCGCCCGCCGCCCGGCCGCCTCGCCGCTGCAGAGGTCGGGAGCGTCGCCGCTGCAGAGGTCGGGTCGGGGCGGACGGCGCGGGGGACTTCGCCCGCCGCCCGGCCGCCCCGACCCGATAGTGAACCGCGCCGACGGGGGCTGCACCGCTACCGATAGTGACAACGCCTACTGACATGAGTGACGGGCAACGGAAACAGGGGGGCACCCGGCGTATCAGTATATACCCCGGTCCCGACAGGCACTGGGCACCGATAGGTGTGTATGACAAAATGGCTGCCTAAGATAGGTGAATGCCTTGGCCTCTGAAAGGACTGCAATCCGTTATCATGCATGCCATGACGCCCGGCCTACCTGCGGCAGGCCCGGGGCCCCGGGGGAGGGGGGGGACATATCGGCCGCCTGCAAGTGGCTGCTGTTCATGACTAGGTGCGCGGATAGCGCTATCGTTGGCTGCAGCACCCGTCCCACCCTGTCCGGCACTCACTATCGGCGCAGAGCCCGCCGGAGAGCCTCAGTAACCGGCAGTGCCGACTAGTGCAGACCGGGCCGCGGACTGGGAGCGCTGCGAACTAGCGCAGACCGCGCCGCGGACTAGCGCAGACATGTGGCTGTGGCGCAAGCTGCTGCTGAAGTTTCTGGTGCTGGCCTGCCTGTCCGTGGCCGCCGGCGCCGCCGCCACCATCCTGAACGGTCTCCTGGTGTACGTGCGCCACCATCTGGCCGGCAGCAGCCGACCGCGCGCCGATTATGTTACTAAGAAGTCGGTACTCCTGCTCGTGTCTATCCCGGCCGCGGTGCTGCTGCTCACCCAGACAGAGATGCCCTGGGAGTGGCTGGGAACGCTGACGCTGCTCGTGGCTATTGCCCCGGCCCTGCTCACCTGGCTCGGGCCGCCCGACGAGCACGTCGAAAACTGCCAGCTGTGCCAGATCGGCAAGGGTAGCGCCTACAACCATTATTTTGGCTACCTCAGGCTCATGGAAGGCGAGCATGGCATCCGGACGCGTCTGGAGAAATTCAAACGTGAAAACCCTGCGGGCTTACCAGAGGAAGTGCTGGAGAAATTCAAACGTGAAAACCCTGCGGGCTTACCAGAGGAAGTGCTGGAGAAATTCAAACGTGAAAACCCTGCGGGCTTACCAGAGGAAGTGCTGGAGAAATTCAAACGTGAAAACCCTGCGGGCTTTCCAGAGGAAGAGCTGGAGAAATTATACTCCAAAGCAGTAGTGGTGCTTGCGCCAAAGGACGGTAGTTACCCCGAACAATGGGACAGACTGGAAGGTGTTGGCAAGATCACTGCAACACTGAAACCCTTCAAGAAAAGAGTGGGTGGCAACGAGCGCAGCTATGGGGAATTCAAGGTGCATGAGGTGAAGTCGAGCGACGGCGAGCACAAGATGTATGTGGCGCTGGACAAGGTGGGAGCCCTGGAAACCCTCCAGAAGCTTCGTAATCACGGTCCAGCCGGCCTTAGCGTTGCCGACTGCCGGAACCAGATGAAGGAGTTGATAGAGGAGCTCAAAGTGATCGTGGCTAAAAATGACCACCTGAAGGGCCAGCTGAAGGTGGTCAGTTACGACGCCGACGAGCATGTCGGGGACGCCATCTTGGCGGCAATAGAGGGCTAGCAACCAGCGCACACTGCTTGTCGGAAACGCTCCGGCGAGAGGCCGCAAAAGTTTTTTGCTTCTTATTTCGCAACTAGAGAAGCAAACTTCATAAAACTTTGCATACCTTCTCTGTTATATGTAAGCTATCATTTGGATGTCAAGCACTTAGTAGGTATATGACGTGAAGCTGTTAAGTTATGACGTCATAATTGAGTATAATACCTACAGGATCTAGCACCACTATAAGTCAACAAGGGAAATTGGAAGCCGCTATTCGGGCACCGGGAATGGTACTTTCATGCACTCCTTACAAAGTTCGGTGCTTCACTTATGCATTGTTGAATTCGCGTGACGTCATGTATGACGTCACGCGTCTCTAGCATCAGCTGTAGCTAGAGAGTTGGGAAAGCCACCAGTGGACTCGGGAAGACCTGTCGAATCGAATGATATGGACAGGGCGTGAACTGACGGGCCGGGGAAAGGAAGGACGCCACGGAGAAGGTACACCGACGGGCTGTTGGTGGAGCGCACTGACGGTGGTGAACGAAGACTGCGGTGACTTGGTGCTGTGCTTAGTGCAAATTGATAGCGATTCATTTTGATCCGAATACTTACACTTGAACACTGCTTAGGGTTAATCTCGATGTGTCGCTACTCGCTGGTTCATCAGAAATGTAGACAGAGTAATCAATGGTTTACCCATAAATATTGGAAAAGTGGAACGCCTGTCTGATCGGTCCTCGGCTAGCTCCGTCACTCCCTGTAGGAATCGTAAAGCGCAAATGATCGGTATCGAAATAAAGTTTTTGCAATTATCGGCCTCGGCCATGAAAGATATTTGTATATCATATGTGAGTTCAGCATGGTAGGTGCACAGGGTCCCACGATGAAAAAGGCCCTGATACCCTAATAAGCCCCATTTCATCGAGATTTGCCATGTAGTTATATGCAGGCGTGTGGCCATTGGGTCATCTGAGGTCGACGCTACTCCCTCGGAGACCGGTGAGAGGCCCTCTCAAGCGGGCCTCTCTAAATCAACATGACCCACCGCCCGTCACAAGTTCACAGTTCTCTATACCTATACCTACCGTGGCCCGTCACAAATGCATGAAGGATCCATAGATATATCTCTAAGTGCTTTGGCAAGGAGCATAATATTTAAGTAGTATTGTTTTTTATCTCGACCTTCTCCTTGTTGATAGATAGCCAAATATTAAAAGACATAGGTTACATTTGCAGTCGGGCACAGCCCATCATCAGATGTATATTGTTCCAAATACACCAAAAACGATCACAAATACACTTAAATAAATTCATTTTTAACAGCTCGTGAAAACCTTCACCCGATGTCTATGTACTCCTTTGCACTGCCAGTGTGCATATTTTAGTGGGCCATCTTTCCAGCAGGAAAACAAAATCGGTGACGGAGTACATACAGTTACATAGCATTAAACACCTAACAGGCACACTTTGCACCCCTATATCCTGAGTTACAAAATCGATGCATTGACAGCTATAACACACAATTTTAAGACGGCGACGGCAGCAAATTTTCGCACAGTTACACGCTACACAGAATGAGTCGAATCACATGGGAATACACAGAACGATCACATGGAGGGGGGGGGGGAGGGTTAGTCTACCCCATCAGCCGCCAAGATGACAAGTTGTCATTTAACACTGGCTTACGGTCCCTAATGTACAGGGACTCAGAGATTTTCCTGTCTGGGTGATCCCTCGTTTTCTTCAGGACCCTCACTTCGATAGGAGGATTGGCGAGCTTGTCAGCTTTGGGTATTCCCTTATGACATGCCTCAAAATGATCTCCTACCGGGGTGAGTGTGGTTTCGTTCGCCGCACACCTAAAGTGTTCGTTGAACCGAAGGCGAAGGGGCCTCTTGGACTCGCCTATATATGTGGCCCCACACAGTTTACACATAAGTTCATACACTACATTTTTATCGGTACATTTGCCACTTTTAATCATTTTGCACGTGTTGCAGGTCCTGTTACCTGCTGGGCACGGTGGGTCCGTGAACGAAGAGTGAACTAATTTACGCTTCAGCGTATCAGGCGCGTAGGAGGCGACATTAATATCCAAGCCAGATTTTTTAACTACACGTTTTACCTTACACAGAACAGTCTCGTTCACATACGGAAGCAGAAGAACATTGCCTACCATTCGATCGCGTCGGCCCGCGCCCCTTTCTCCCCCTGGGTCATCTGCTCTCTCCCCAGTACCCCTCATCCTCCCTCCCCTCCGTTCTCGGTCCCTCCCCTCTCGCTCTACCTGTCGCTGAACGCGCCGGATGACATTCATTGGATAACCGTTTTTCAAGAACAGTTCACACATCTTCTCCATGCTCCTGCCTCTCGCACCCTCGTCTGATGACAGTCTCACTGCTCGTTTTAACTGTGCTCGGAGGGTACTCAGCTTCATGTGCTTAGGATGGGCTGAACGATAGTGAATGATGATTCCTGCATTGTTAGGTTTCATGTATAATTCCGACTGAAATACGCTCGTCTGACCCTCGCGGCTAAGCTGACGATCACGCCTAAGCTGGATCGTCGGTTCATCGCTGATATTGAGAAGAATATCGAAAGATATGCGTATGGCAAAAGGTGGGCAGACGAAATACAGCGTGCGAAGAGAGAAAGAAATCAGAACGCGGACACCCGTGGCCTTCCTGAGCCTCAAGTTGAAGATGTTGGCGCTACATCGAGTGTTGTATCTCAAGTGGGTAACGGCGCCGCTACTTCAAATCTGCTCAGCGATGCACGTTTTCCAGACGAGACCAAAACACAACCCCCTATGTCTGATAGAGTCACAGAAGAACGGCTAGGCAAACTAAAAAGCTCGATTTTGAAAGTTTATCGACAGCATGGGAAAACCATCGAGAACGTCACTAAAGAGGAGCTAGACGGTCTAGAAGTGTTAAAAACGAACGACAACATCGTAATCAAGCCGAGCGATAAGTGCAAGGGCCTGGTTATTTTGGACAAGGCTGATTATGTGAAAAAGGCGAATGATATTCTCGATGACGACACGAAATACGCGCGACTTGAACAAGACAAAACAGCGAAAGTGGAAGCTGCTACCAAACGAATCTTCAAACAGACAGTTCGAGGAAAACTGCCGGATAGAACTGTCGAAGTCCTAACTCCAAACCACAGTCGGACACCAGTCTTCTATGGGCTACCAAAGGACCATAAGCCGGGCGTCCCACTCAGGCCGGTCATCGCAACGTGCGGCGGACCGACGGAGAAGACGTCATGGATGCTGGATAAAATCCTACAGCAGCTGTTGACGTTCGTCCCTCACCACCTGGTGGACACCGACGACTTCCTTCGGAGACTGCGACAATTCTGGGGTGAGCAGCCGGTCCCGGCCACTGCTATATTCCTCAGTATAGACGTTGTTAACCTATACGGCAGTATCCCTGTAGACGATGCTGTGGATGTAGTCCGAGAGGCTTTGGAGCGTCACTATGATAGCATAGATACTGCTGGTCTCCGTGTAGAGGACATATGTGAGTTACTGCGTCACTGTCTAAAAAACAGCATTTTTAGATTCGGTCATCAGTTCTACTTGCAAAAAGAAGGTATAGCTATGGGAAACCCGGTCGCTCCAGCTGTAGCTGTTTTGTATATGGATCGTTTCGAGAGGAGGGCGCTGGAGGGAGCAAACTTGAGACCGGATTTCCTGGCGAGATATATTGATGACTATGCCGGGGTCTGGCTACACGGCAAGGATACTCTGAATGATTTCGTCGCTTACCTGAACGGCATAGATAGTAGAATCCAGTTTACTTGTGAGATGTCGGGAGAGAGGGAGGGGGAGGTACCGATGCTAGACACTTTGATTTCGCTGCGCCGCGAGGGTCAGACGTGCGTATTTCAGTCGGAATTATACATGAAACCTAACAATGCAGGAATCATCATTCACTATCGTTCAGCCCATCCTAAGCACATGAAGCTGAGTACCCTCCGAGCACAGTTAAAATGAGCAGTGAGATTGTCATCAGACGAGGGTGCGAGAGGCAGGAGCATGGAGAAGATGTGTGAACTGTTCTTGAAAAACGGTTATCCAATGAATGTCATCCGGCGCGTTCAGCGACAGGTAGAGCGAGAGGGGAGGGACCGAGAACGGAGGGGAGGGAGGAGGAGGGGTACTGGGGAGAGAGCAGATGACCCAGGGGGAGAAAGGGGCGCGGGCCGACGCGATCGAATGGTAGGCAATGTTCTTCTGCTTCCGGTATATCTCTAAGTGCTTTGGCAAGGAGCATAATATTTAAGTAGTATTGTTTTTTTATCTCGACCTTCTCCTTTTTGATAGATAGCCAAATATTAAAAGACATAGGTTACATTTGCAGTCGGGCACAGCCCATCATCAGATGTATATTGTTCCAAATACACCAAAAAACGATCACAAATACACTTAAATAAATTCATTTTTAACAGCTCTGCTCTCTCTTCGAGATTCTTCGAGATTCTTCTGCTTCCGTATGTGAACGAGACTGCATTCTGTTTAAGGTAAAACGTGTAGTTAAAAAATCTGGCTTGGATATTAATGTCGCCTCCTACGCGCCTGATACGCTGAAGCGTAAATTAGTTCACTCCTCGTTCACGGACCCACCGTGCCCAGCAGGTAACAGGACCTGCAACACGTGCAAAATGATTAAAAGTGGCAAATGTACCGATAAAAATGTAGTGTATGAACTTATGTGTAAACTGTGTGGGGCCACATATATAGGCGAGTCCAAGAAACCACTTCGCCTTCGGTTCAACGAACACTTGAGGTGTGCGGCGAACGAAACCACACTCACCCCGGTAGGAGATCATTTTGAGGCATGTCATAAGGGAATACCCAAAGCTGACAAGCTCGCCAATCCTCCTATCGAAGTGAGGGTCCTGAAGAAAACGAGGGATCACCCAGACAGGAAAATCTCTGAGTCCCTGTACATTAGGGACCGTAAGCCAGTGTTAAATGACAACTTGTCATCTTGGCGGCTGATGGGGTAGACTAACCCTCCCCCCCCTCCATGTGATCGTTCTGTGTATTCCCATGTGATTCGACTCATTCTGTGTAGCGTGTAACTGTGCGAAAATTTGCTGCCGTCGCCGTCTTAAAATTGTGTGTTATAGCTGTCAATGCATCGATTTTGTAACTCAGGATATAGGGGTGCAAAGTGTGCCTGTTAGGTGTTTAATGTTATGTACCTGTATGTACTCCGTCACCGATTTTGTTTTCCTGCTGGAAAGATGGCCCACTAAAATATGCACACTGGCAGTGCAAAGGAGTAGACATCGGGTGAAGGTTTTCACGAGCTGTTAAAAATGAATTTATTTAAGTGTATTTGTGATCGTTTTTGGTGTATTTGGAACAATATACATCTGATGATGGGCTGTGCCCGACTGCAAATGTAACCTATGTCTTTTAATATTTGGCTATCTATCAACAAGGAGAAGGATCCATAGATTTTGAGCGCCTCAGAGGCCGGTGCCTGTTGGTTTGGAGTTTGGACCCTTTGAAAAATCGGTGAGGGGATGTAGCGGTCTGCGTAGTGCCCAACTAGTCTTTGAGTGTCATCAGAAGCTGGGTGAGGAGTGTGGTGTCATCGAATGCGGGCGTGGCGTGAGCCTCTGAAGCCTGCACGAGACCTGTCACTTGTAGGGGCGCGGGCCCTCAAAGAGTCCCTGCGTGACCTCTCAGGCCTGGCTTAGACCGGTTCGAGCCTCCCTCAGAAGCTGGTGCCCTCCGGGTCATCAGAAACTTGTGTGTGATCATCAGAGATTCACCCGCGCCCCGTTGGGTTCTGGCGGGCCCTACCAT